CTCCCCCGCGCATCAGCCTGGGCGGCTCGCGGGGTCTGCCTGTGTCGCTGGGCAGCGGCGTTTGGTCCGCCCCCTGCTGGGAGCCCGCTGGCAGCTGTCAGGCCTCGGGCGGCTTCTTTCCCCCTCGGGTGCCGCTTCCAGAGGCAGCGGTTCTGGACGTGGGGTGCGGCTACTGACTTGGTCCTCTAGGAAAAACCTACCAGGCGTCCCTGTGGCAACTTAGAGACTTAAGAGATTTATTAGGGCAGAAGCTTTCTTGCTTTTTGAACGCTTGTGCCCTAATCAACCTGTTCGCCTCTCAAGTGTCACAGGGCTGCTCATTGTTTTTGCACATACTAACAGGGTTACTACCCCTCTGAGACTTTGGTCCTCTAGATCAGTAAAATACCGTGTTTTGTGGGGTTTTTTCTCTTGCCCCTGTGTGGACAGAAGTGTGTGCGCGCGGGGTGGGGAGATTGCTCTTGCTAACTAGCATGTGAAATATGCACGGGGATCTTTTGACCTGTCAGTTACTGAGCTGAAGAGTTAGGGCACATTCTCACTCTGCTGTTCTATCAGAGGGTTCAGTTTCTCTGTGTTTAGAGACAAAGTCCCATAGTCACATTGACTACAAATATTTTCTAAATATATATAAAATGGAGGCTACTACTGATGTGGCAGTTTTCTAATTTTAGATAAAGGGTACTGTCAACTTTAAGCTTCTGTATTGCAAACAAATTTGTATTCTGCTAAGAAGAAGTTTAGGTTATTGAAAGTGAATAAGTATTTAAAACCCAATTTATTACTTGCAGTTTTTGAGAGAATGTTAAGAAAAATTATATGTTCACATAGTCCCAGTCATGCTAATATTTGCAATGAGAGTACACCTGTTAAAATCAGTTGGGCTACTTGTATAAATCCTGGCACTCACATGCAGAAGTGTCTGTTTGCATTACGTTTGAGGCTTTTCAAACTTTATTTAGTGGTTAAATTACATTCTGAACTGTTCATCTACCTTAAGAATTGTATTGTTACTGTTTGCAGGCAGAAGGTCCTACAAATGATAATTTGCAGTGTCTAATAAAAATGGGTACTTTATAAATAGTGCTTATGTTCCTGTACAGCAGATGCAGAAAAAAACTCTGTTAAAAATAACAAAAATAAAACATTGCTCTTTTTCATTAACCTAGCCATAGCCTTTCATTAGCTACAGAAGGAATGTAGCTACAGTAAGCCAGCATAGAATTCCAATCCTTCAGACACTTAAGGATACTAGGGATGCAAAATGCTGGTTAATCATTAACTGGTTAAACCTAAGGTTTAAGTGGCCTCCCATCCCATCCCCTCCACCTGCCCCTTCTGCTCCCAGCAACTCCTGTGCAAGAAGCTCCCAGCTTCTGCTGCCACCCACTCCTTGCCCCTGCAACCCATACCCCCAGCTGCTCCCGGGTACCAGTTAACCAGAAACCATTTGATGTTTTGCCGTTTCACTAAAATGGAAGTAATAGAACCAGGAGTGTTTTGCTTTCAGAAAAAAAAGACTATTGGCTGAGACTACTGAGATGTAGCTGCTTCATAGCAGTGAAAGGATGTCTATTTTATAGTACTTTAGTCTCCCATTGGCTGTAAGAGTTTGGTCTGATTTCAGTTGCTGTATTTAGCATATGGAGGTCAATCGGTCAAACTGGTGATCTAGTCTTAAACACAGTTGGTAATTAGGTAGCAGGTTACTTTATAGCAGTTAAATATTGTACTGATTCTTTCATTCTAAACTTTCTGGTATTGTTTCATTTCTGGGAGGGAGATAATGTGTTTAAGAGGAAAAAAAACCAGATCTTTTCTATTTAACCAACCATAACAATATGGATGATGGGTGGGTGGAGATGGGTGACCCATTAATACTTCCAAAAATATGTACAAAACTCATAAAAATACATATTGAAAGTATGTTGCCAAATACTGTTTAGCAAATCAGGGGAACTGCTTTTGGAAAGAAAATCCAGTAGTAAAGGCACTCATTTCAGCCTTGTATATGATTTTTTTTAGTTGATTTGATGTCAAAAAAAGTGACAGAAGCCTTGCATATTCACATGGTTACAGTTAATGCGTTTGTATGTGCAAATAGGGCATTATGTTGCTAACTAGACATTTAGATATTTAAGTACTTATTTGTATGTACAGATTGGATCTCCTTGCTCCCGCACCCTTGGGACCTGACTTGTCCTGAATTATGGAATTTTCTGGACCTCGGGAGGTCCCCTGCCACTGGCTCCCTGCCTGCTGCCTCTCAGTGCTCCTGGCTCCTCTATTACTCCAGTTGGTCCCTCTGCCTCTGGATCCCCCTACTGCTGGTCCCAGACAGACTATCAGCCCTGCTGTCTTTGACTCCCATGTTGACCAGGTTGTCAGCCCTGCTGCTGGGCCATGGGCTCTAGTTTCACCCCTGCACTGCTTTGGCCCTGTGCTGCAACGGGCTGCTGGGGGCTCTGGCCCCCCATTGCTGGCCCTCCTGCCACAAGTCTCCCCAAGTTCTCTGGTACAAGAACATCCTGGATATTGCTGGACCAGAGAGTGTCAGTTTTGGTAGGTGCAACTTGCATTTGGAAAACTTGGCCCCACTAGGCTGATTGAATAACAGTTCTTAGCAGTGTTCCCTGTAAGCTGAATGCTTGTACGGGAGCCTAGGAGAGATCCAAATGCTGCCCAACTGATTAGCGGAGCACCCAGAGACAGCAGCATGTGTTTCTACTGCTGGTGCACACATGTACATACTCTGATGCACATAATTAAAATTATTCTGCACATGGATGGAAAAGCTTAGAGAAAACATTGGTTTTTAGGCATTCGTTTTGTGTGTATATAGGGCAGAATCCACAGTGGGCCTTAGGTATTGTAATACAAGTCCAACTGATTAGCGGAGCACCCAGAGACAGCAGCATGTGTTTCTACTGCTGGTGCACACATGTACATACTCTGATGCACATAATTAAAATTATTCTGCACATGGATGGAAAAGCTTAGAGAAAACATTGGTTTTTAGGCATTCGTTTTGTGTGTATATAGGGCAGAATCCACAGTGGGCCTTAGGTATTGTAATACAAGTATGCCTTCACTATGCACATTAGTGAGATTGCTATGCTACTACAGCCCTGCCACAAAAATGTGTGCAGTGTCGCTTCTCTATCAGC